TATTTCTGTGTGTACATCTTTCTTCATATTTTCCCTTTTAATAAAAATACAATTTTTATTAGATTAATACTATTCTTCTTGAATAATCATTTTAATTAATTACACCTATAATGACCCAATTTGCAAACAAGGCCACCTCCCAAGATATTAAAGATTAGGACTTCACCACATTAATTTTGGGAAGACACAAATTAACCTGTCACAAAAATAATTTCCGTAGTATCCATGTTCAAAACTAGAATTTCCCCCTCAAGTCAACACTAAAATTTTGAAACTTTTGTTCTAATTTTCATTCTTTTCAACTATTCATGATAGCATTTGATTTATGATATCCTCAACAGCCTTGAGAATTATTTTTACTATTAAAGTTAATATATTTGTTCTTTGTTAATTTTATGATAATAATTAGGCATAGTTTTAATCAGTTGGATAATTTTTTATACTTAATTACCATTGTTGAATTTTAATTTATAGATTAATTATTTCTTTAAATTTGAAGATTTCTTCTCATTCCATAGGTTTAATAAATATTCCCTCCTCTTCATTTATTTTTTTCTTTAGTTATTTCACATTTAATTTTTAATACACATGGAACTTTGAGACATATGTATGAGATGAGTATGCAAACAGATATTATAGATGCACCATTCACTGACTAATGATTCCCTGTGTCTCTGATAAAAAGTATAAAATTAAGTATAATATATTAGTTTTATTTATGTCTCACTTGTATACTCACCTACTATTTTTCTGGGGCCATATGTTTTAATGGTTTGTCCTCATAATGCTCCCTCTAAAAAGTCCCAGATGTTTCACATATATGTAATCCAATTATACTTGAAATTAGCATAAATGACTGCCACTAGGATTCTGACTATTAAACTTATTGGATAACAATCTATATTTCCTATATAGGAAAATGAAATAATATTTTCTTTATTAATATTTTTAGATATTCCATAAAGTAGTACAGCTTATTAAACCTGTTCTTTTTATTGTCAGAAAACATTTATTGGACATCTACTCTATTTCAGGAATATGGCAGAAATTAAGAAAATGAGATTAAAAACCTACTAATATCGAGGAGCTCAGATTTTAGGATTGCAGATGAGGACACTGGCAGATATGAAGATTAGCAGGGAGGAAAGCTCTGTGTGCAATGACCATGGATCCTTGATAAATAACCAGTTTCCAGGAGGGGGGCTTATGATTTAGGTGTTTTTTGGAGGTTTACAGCAGCTCGCTAGGTGGGAAGAGGGAATAACTGTTA